TAGAACGTTGTGGGAAGGTTACCCAAAATGCAACCAAACGTGAACCTTAGGGGAACATTCTAAAAATTACTCCAAAAAAACATTACAAGCATCTGGTTATTAGAACGTTATACAAATGTTACATCAAAAACCAAATATTTGTAGAACTTTCTTAGAACGTTGTGGGAAGGTTACCCAAAATGCAACCAAACGAGAACCTTAGGGGAACATTATAAAAATTACTCCAAAAAAACGTTACAGGCATCTGGTTATTAGAACGTTATAAGAATGTTACATTATATGTAGAACTTTCTTAGAACGTTGTGGGAAGGTTACCCAAAATGCAACCAAACGAGAACCTTAGGGGAACATTATAAAAATTACTCCAAAAAAACGTTACAAGCATCTGGTTAGTAGAACGTTTTAAGAATGTTACATTAAAAACCAAATATTTGTAGAACTTTCTTAGAACGTTGAGGGAAGGTTACCCAAAATGCAACCAAACAGGAACCTTAGGGGAACATTCTAAAAATTACTCCAAAAAACGTTACAGGCATCTGGTTATTAGAACGTTTTAGGAATGTTACATTAAACACAAACATTTATACAATGTTCTTAAAATGTTTTTTAGGGAACGTTCAGTAGAAAACTTGTAGGGAACATTCTGGGAATGTTACCGGAACGTTATGTGTTAGCTGGGTAGTGAGACAGCCCCTCACACTGTCCCTTATCAGACAAGGTACGGATGGGAAGTCAAACCCAGAATTGTTATGGACTTACAAGAGCACACTTAAGAGATTGTTATTTTAAAAAAAAAAAAAAAAAAACATGTCACTGATAGTATTGAATAAGTTCATTGCTACTGAGTTACATAAAGAATTATATGTTTACATATTCTAGTGTTCAAGCAAGCTAAGTGATAGCTAAAAGAGTATTTTTCTGTTTACAAAGGTTATGTGGACATATCACAGTATTACTGAGTTTTGGTTTTGCTGTATGTGATTACAATACAGGTTAGTTGGTTGTTAACAGTAACTTTGTTTCAGACACACATATATAGTGTTAATTTTCTCTAAAAGAAGGGGGATGTAATATTCAGTAGAATATAATGGTATGATGTGTTTAAGATCAATATCAGAGCTAGGAGATGTAAACAACGACTCCTACTGGATGCTGAATAATGCTTGAATATGATTGGTCCACACAACATTAAGTTAGGCTGTGTCAGTGCAACCTCACGTGTGTGAAGTTGGCCTTCCTGCAAGCCTGTATGCCTCCGGTAAATAAAGATTAAAAAGTTAGACCACGTCGTCGTCCGGAATTAATTTATGTACGCACTGTACAAAATAAGACAGCTGGCTGAGACAAACAGCCCCTCCTCCCTCTACCAGCACTAATGTTACCATGTTACCAGCCAATAACCTGGCGGAACTAAATATAGGGCGCATGCTGAATCATCTACATCATCAGCCTGATTTGAATAAATTTTCCAGAACTCTTGAGGTGCAGTGGAAACGCAAACCACACAGATTACCAGGAATTCTTCTACCCAGGTAAATGAATTCCTGGAAATGTTGGTGGAAAAGGAGCTATTTTGGAGTCACTTGCCGAGCCATGCCCCCTTTAAAGGTCATTGGTCAATATCATTAAAACGCAGATATCAATAACAGTCAAAGCATTGGTGAAAAAAGTCGGAAAAAAATCTCACATCATTCTACTGATTTCAGGTATATTGTCAAATATTTTGGTGACATTTAATTAAAAATAAGATGAAATTGAAACTGTTGTGCATACAGTACATAGCACAAGATAAAGAATATCACAGTGAGCTAGCCGTTAAACCAATCTGAACACCATTTGAAACGTGACATAGAGTATCCAAAGAATGAATCAGTCCTTCCAGAAAAATGCAGAGTTTTTTTGTGATTGTTGCGGGCAAAAATCCTTGATTATGCAGCACGTTTTCTTAAAAAATGCAATGGAATATGTGGGATATTTATGCAATTTCATGCGATGAAATTGCGGGAACTTGCAAAAATTGCGAGAACTTGCAAAAATTGTGGGAACTTGCAAAAACTGCGATTTGATGAAAAAGAGGAAAAAAGTGATTCCCCCAACACCCTGTTCTCACTAGGCTACTACCTTAATGTAGTCATTTCTAATTACTTCCTATGATAAGCAAGCATACTACATCACAGAAAGTGCAGGGAATATTTAAGTTCTCATCTTGTTTTATTTCAGACCTTAATAAACACATGGCTTAAACTTACAAAACATTGCTGAGTCAAACAAGTTCTGTAGCTAGAATATGCTACAACTTATGTAAAAATAATACATAATAATAAAATATATATTATGTCATGAAGGCTATGGAGAGAGATCCGTGTTTGCGCACCCGCTGGTTAAGCGCTTTTAGAAAGGAGTCAGGCGACAGAGACCTGTCACGTGCTCTTTGGCACCGCAGTGGGATTTACCCCTGGTGTTACGCGCTCTGGGAGAACATCCCTTCGAGCCTCTGTCACAAATCTCTCTCAAACTACTGTCATTAAAGACAGCACTTCTCTTAGCCTTGACTTCGTAAGAGAGTGAGTGATTTATGTGCGCTTTCAGTCTCCCCGTCTTGTCTCGGGATCAGAGATGACGGGAGCGCAGAATCCCACATTCATGTCTAAAATCATAACCAGCTCTTTCAGATCGAGAGTTATTTCACTGGAAGGTTTCTTCCCTCCTCCCCACAGGAGGAGAAGAAACATCACACCGACTCTGCCTAGAGCGCGCTCTGTCTCATTACGTGACGCGCAGAGCAAGCCTCAGAGAGACACAACAGTTGTTTGTACATTACAGAGAGCGTTCACAAGGAAAACCCCTCTTGCAACGAAAATGCGAGGATTATGAAATCATGCAAGCCCCACATATTTCGCGCATTTTACGTGGAAATCGGCAATTTATGCGGCGAAAGTGCGGCGTCTTTGAAAAAATGCGGCCCCCGCATGAATGTGCGGACTTTGGCTTATTATGCGTTGAATTATGCGATCGCATAATCGCGTTTTTCTGGAGGGACTGATTAATGTGAGTGATGGACTTCTGAACTGACTATAGGTTGCAGCCCAGCAAACTTTTGTCAAAATTCCGTGGATGTGCTGGAAAAAAAAATCAGCTCTGTAGCACACACTGGTGATTTATCAGGATTTTTGGAAGTATGGAATGTGAAATGTCTTGAAATTAAGATTTCATGTAATAAGGCACGCCCCCTTTAAGCAATCTTTTTCAAATTTTATGACTGAGACATGACCCTAGATGATGCAAACCGAGTTTCATATCTCTGGCTGATTATGAGATGATGATTATGAGACTTTTTGCATGTGTAGTGCCCCCTATCGGTTGATTAGAATCTAACTTTTAGGGCATGATTCAATTATGTTTATAGGCAGTTCCTACAAATTTTGTGATGATTGGCTCAATGGTTAATGAGTAAAATCCATTAATGTGCTGAGCCATGCCCCCTCTTAAGTTCACTGGTTAATATCATCAAAATACAATGACATATCAAAAGCTGTTGATAGCTTTTTAAGAGCTTCATCCCATGATGATCCACATAAGGTTTAGTACAAATCAGACCTACACCTTAGAAGATGTGAAAAATGTGTTTTTCAAAAAATTCAATATGGCAGACAATCCAGTCAGGCAGACCTTGAGGATTCTTGAGATTTTCGTAGAACCCATTTTGTGTGTTGAATTTCAAGTCAATCTGTCATAACGGTGCAAGGGTGGTGGCCTTTCAAAACAAAATTTACTTGGACCTTAGTTATAGCGCCCCCATCTGGCTATTGACCTATTGGTATTATATTTGTTGAGCATATTTGCACACAACATCCGATCATTGGTGAAAATGTCATGTCTCTACGATGTACCATCTCACGGGAATTTGCGAAAACATTTCTGAATAATAATAATAACAATAATAATAATAATAATAATAATAAAACAGGACAAAAACAATAGGGTTTCAGCCCTTCAGGCCTGAACCCTTAAATATGGCCACGGAAAACAAAATACTGCAAATATTTATTAAAGCATATGAGAATGAACCCTTTTAAAAGGTAATTTTGAAACTGTACCTGAGCCGTCAACAACTTCACAAGGAAAATACATTTAGAGGTTAAAACAAGGTGGCAAGCTGAAGGTAATCTGACCATCACACAAGAGGAATGGGAAGAGATATTGAGACAACAATGAAAAACAACAAGCTCTCCTTCCTGGAGAGAAATTTATTGGAAGAATGTCATGCGTTACTTCTGTAGTCCTAACCAGAAAAAATCTCTCTCAAACCAGGGGCCTGTATCACGAAGCAGGATTAATGTCTTAGCGAGGTAACTTCAGGGTTAACCCTGGGTTTTCGGTCTCACAAAGCCGGTTCAGTTCTTATCGGGGTAGATCACCATGGCAACTTACTCTGAACGGCTATCCTGCTCCGGAGCACGAGAAATACTTTTTTTTCCCCCTCACATACGACGCTCTGTGAGGACGCTCAGTGACGCTGCGCTTCTCTCATGATTGTGATTGGTCCGCTGCGTGTGCGTTCACGGTTTTTGATAAAGCAACTCTGGGTTGAGTTACCGAGTTGATATCCAGCTTCGTGATACTGATTATCCTGATTGCCATTGTTAGGGTTAGTCAACCCAGGATAGGTCTGGGTAACCCAGGAAAGGTTGATCTCGCTTCATGATACAGGCCCCAGATGGACTGTTGGAGATTGTGTGAAAACAAAGAAAATCACTTTTATTTATTTTGGGGGTGCCTCTCTGTCACTCCTTTTTGGACTTCATGGCATTCTTGACTGTTTGCCTAAGCCAAAATAACCTTTAATTTTGAACTTATAAGGATAAATATCTGCCAATATATTATTGGTGGCATGTATGTAAGAAATTCCTAATCAAGAAATGGCTGAAAAAAGAAATACCTACTGATGAATGGACTGACTTGTCATACAATATTTATGTAATGAAGAGAAGGACTTTTAGTTCGAGAACCCAAAAGGAAGTTTTTATTGAGAACTGGATGAAATAGTATATGTCTCAAAACATAAGACCTGATTTTGTCTGAACAAGTACGAGAAACACATTGCGGTGTGACTAGTAGCCCCCCCTGTCTCTAAATGTATGTCTTGATTCAACATGAATTCCACTGGCTCCCGGTCAAGTCCCACATTATCTACAAAATCCTCCTCCTCAGTTACAAGTCCCTCCATGCCCTCGCCCCACAGTATGTAACAGACCTCCTCCAACCCTACACTGTCCAGATGTCTGCGCTCCTCTGACTCCAGCCTACTCTTCATCCCTCACTCCCGCCTCCAAACTTTTGGTGACCGGGCCTTCAGCGTCACTGCCCCCACCCTCTGGAACTCTCTCCCCCCTGTAACCCGCGATGCCCCTTCACTGGACATTTTCAAATCCACCCTCAAAACTCACCTGTTCACCATGGCTTTTTAATTCGATAATCCATCTCATGCCCAGTGTACCATCACACAGTTTCTCTGCTGTCTTCTGTTGTTTGTTATAGTTTTGTTGCTTTTCTGTACTGCTTGTGTTGTATTGTACTGTTCTGTTGGTGTTATTGTTTCATTACTATGTATTGTAAAGTGACCTTGGGTTTCTTGAAAGGCGCTATATAAATTAAAGTTATTATTATTATTATTATTATTATTATTATTATTAACAACCTGGATAGCACAATCCATCTATTTATTTACTCTATTCTTATTTTATGGTATGATATGGTATTATTATTATTTTTGGGTTTTTTTTGGTTTTGCTCAAGGTCCTCATATTCTACTGGTTGTGGATTTTGTTTACATATGGTTATATTGCATTTATAAACAAATAAAAAAGAGAATTACAAAAAATAAAAATCCAAAAATTTCAAATGCTGCACACTGACTTTTTAGCCTGGCCGTACTTGATCACAACCTCAGCTCTCATCAACTATATTTCCAGCAGCAGGAGGCAGCTGTTATTAGTGAAACAGTGTGAATAAACCCACTGTACACAACCTGCTCAGCAGCACAGAGCAGACAGACATAGTTAGAGACTAGCTGGTGAACACAGTGAAACATTTAGCAGCTAAAGAGACAGATTTTTCTCAGAAGTTGGTAGAGATCAAAAAAAGAGCTGAAAAGACAGTGAATACTGGACATTTGTCAGGTGGACACAAACTCAACTCCAAATAATGTTGCTCTGGTTCTGCTGGATGTGCTCATAGGTAATGGTTTGCTAACACAGTCACCATAACAACTTTATAAGTTGAAAATATGTCAATGTTGTGTTTACAGTGTATAATAGTATTTCTGTGAAAACTGAGGAAACTTCATCCAATGATGAAGGCCAGCAAAACAGCTAGCAAATGGACCCTGATTTTAGTCTGTTTGTGAATGCTAATATTCAAGACCAGTGACTGAGATGCCCTGCACTGCACAGCTTGATGAAATAAAGGTGAAGGGCCCAGAGTTGCTGTTTTTTTCAATCCATGTGGAGAGAAAGCATCCAGATATGAGGGCAGAAGAATGGACAGGAATGGAGAAAGTGTGCTGGACTTGTTCTCAAGAATCCTCCTTCTCTTGATATCTATAACACCAAAATCAAAATGATCAGCAAAAGACTTCATAGCAGTACAAACTGTTTAAATTAAGTCTCACAATACACGGTGTGTTCACACATTATTTACCTGCAGTGTATACAGGTGAAGAAGACAGTCTGTCCCTCATCTGCAGATCTCATCTGCCTGGTGTGGTAAACCATCCCCTCTTTATTGCAACGAGAGCAGCGTCTGTCAATCTAGAGGAAGCAGGTAACCTCATTAATACAGTGTACAGCTATTACCATCAAACACAACGTAGCAGTCAGTGAGCAGCCGACAGTCTGGTCTTACCACAGGTCCCTTCAGGTCAGAGTCCTCCTCTTCCTCCAGAGCTACTGTTGACTGCTCCACAGGGTTGAAGACAACTGTTGAGCAGATCACCTGGCCTGAGAACTCTGAACAGCAAAAACATACATGTAAGGAGGAATATGGGGAATTCTGAGTAGGGATGGGAATTGATAGGATTTTATTGATATCAATGCCATTATCGATTCTGCTCATTGATCCAATTCTTTATCGATTCCCTTATCGATTCCTCCTGTGAATTTTCTGTGTAGAAAAAGTAGACCTTACAGGTTTTTGTTGTCAACAACTTAAATTTTATTGAGTTTCTATTCTAAACAAGAGATAAGTGCTAAGTAAGTAAGTAAACAAAATATGAAATTGGTCCACTGCTATCATCTAAAATGGAACAAATGAAAGAATATTTGTACAGCATTTGTTTTCATCTATGTCAAATAACGTTACAGAATCTGTTAGTGTTGTCACGGTACCAAAATTGGGACCCACGGTAAGACACCAGTGAAAGTGGCAGATGTGCCTTTTGTCATTTATAAAAAGATAAATCACTTTTCTATAATACATCAATGATATTTCAATGGAATAAATTACTTATTGACTTATTCATACTTCAAAAACAGCATCAACAAGTGATTAACATAGGGGGGATCAAAATAAAATAAATAAAAATGAAACTCAACCAGCCACCCTCCTCCCCTGACAAGTTAAGAACAGTCCCTTAAGTGCGGTGAGGTTTGTGGAAATGTGAATGGCTCGTTTCTCCTCTGACACGTCACATACCTGTGTGCCGCCACGGCTCGGCTGTTCAGGTACATTTGGTCAGTCATGACACCAAGACGAGAAAATTATTGGACCTGGAGCCAGGCTTCTCGGTCACCGGTAAGCCGTTATCTTGTGCCATGGAGCACTATGGCCGTCGTAGTTGACAGGAATACGTATTCCTGTCCGTGTCTGTGTCTGTGACCCCTGTTTAACTCACAACCGGCAGGGTTCGCCTTTTGTTTCTGCTGCTGGTTGAAATCTGTACTCACACAGTGTGCTGAATTTTGTGCTGATTTATTTTGCTCGCACAAAACTATTTTTAGTCGCATATGCGAGTAATGTTAAAATGCTCGCACAGTAGAGCCCTGTAGTGGAAAACAAATCAGTGTAGCATTGGTGGTGTTTCTGCCCTTGCATGTAATCACGGTGCTGCATAAATTACACGTCATGCTGTTGTGATGAGTGAATGTCATGAGTCTTTTTGGTGAAGTGAAGCCAAGCTTTCGACCGCTTCTGTCTCTCCACCATTACGTCTTCTTTGTTGAACGTACCGCTGACTGACGAGCGTGACGTGCATCATTGATGTAAAGATTTGGCGTAATGAAAAGAATTGATAAGGGAATCGTTAAGCATAAAGTCTAATGATGTCTAATTCTGAGCCATTATCAAACCAGAATTACCACTTTACAGTTGTATGTCTCCACAAACCAGTCAAGTTTCTCTTGCAGTTTAGATCAATGTCTATGAAAACATAGATGCTTCACACACATCTTTCGCCCAACAGCACAGAAGACCTATACAATCAGCACAGTTTCAAGGTGAACACCTAAGATTAGTATCACCAATTCAGTCCCTGACCAAATATCTCTCTTTCTGTTCTTGAGATATGACGTTGAGTAATGGCCAGAAAAGTGGTTTATGTAGAATATCATGATGTCACAGTGAAGCTGGCCTTTGACCTTTTGTCATCAATTCATTACTTTATCCTATTAAACATTTGTATGATATTGCCATAATCCAAGGGCGTAGGTTTGATTTTCACATTGGTAGGGACATAAAAGTGCTCCATGGCGGTAACTGTACATTGATGATTTTTTAATGCAATTTCACGTCATGTGAAACTGATCACTGCTTTATAATGCATATTTAGATATCTACACTAAATACAAGAATGTCTTGGTTAATGTATTCTCTAATGTTATCAGTTACATGAATATACACTGATAACTTCACCACATCTGTCCGTATGTGCTTCCCAGAGTAAACTATAATAATAACAGTAACAGTATACCCCGAAGGGGCTTAACTTCAGTACCAGCCTGCGGTCTGCAGGTAGGTTGGTAATAGTGATCCGAATTGATATTGATATCGGGTAAAAACACATTATGCATGAATTAATATTTTTACTTACCTCTAGTCACGATGCTGAATCTCACTATCAACATTCAATCTCACCTGTGAGGCTCCTGTCTCTCCTCTATCCCCCCCTGTCTGTCTTCCATTTCCTACTGTCTCTCTTTCTGCCTCTCCTCCTCCATCTCCTCTATCTCCTCCAGTCTCTCTACTACTTGTCATCTGACAAAAAATGTATTGATGCAAGACGTGAACAGTGGGGCAATTTGAGATGCAACAGTCATAGATTTTGATTGTTGTAGCCTGAGGAAAACATACTGTATGTTTTACAATTGTGTAATTCATTAAACAACATCTAATGTATATAGGCTAAAGAACAGCCATAATGTCAACACAAGTTAGTCAGCTTCATCATGTTAAACATAAATAAAATAAATCAACAAAAATGTAAATGCTCCAAAATCATTATAATACAACTGTGTGCAAAATGTTGCACTTACACCCAATATCTATTACATAAATATGACTCAGTTTTGGTGTTTTTACTGGGAGCAGTGGATCTCTATTCTCCTAAGTCTCTCCTTCACACACCATGGATGCTGAAGACTGTCACTGAAGGAGCTATCATTTATAGTGTTTACACTTTATTTATTCAGACTGTTTCTATTATGTCATCTTACTACAGACATTAATTTGAACTGTGTCATCACACATGACATCTATGATTGCTGATGGAGCATGTGAAGTGGAATTTCATGTTCTCTGGCATATAATATTGATCTAATAGTTGCCAAACTTAGGTCAGCTCGTATTAGCTCATTCGCATCTCATTATCTAGCAAAGAGTTGCCAAGGAACGCCATTCAGTTAGCCTAACATCAGGTGTTTTTTTAGCTTATTTACTGAACCAACCAACTCACCGTTCACACTCTAACAGTGATGCGCGTGTATGTGTCGTTCCCTCACGAACTGCCGTGAACTGTACGGTGACCTGAGTCAGTGAAGAGAGCGGCGCTGGGGAGGACCAATCACACGTTACCAAAATAACGGTAGAGCCAATCGATGAGCAATACGAGGTTAGAGGCGGGACATATGGTAGACACCAACGATTGTTAACCCTTTGTGTACCATATTGAGCAGATGCCGGCAGCCAGTGTTTATATTGGTAGGGACAATACAGAAGGGGCTGAATATTGGTAGGGACGTGTCCCTACCGTCCCTACCCAGTCCTACGCCTATGCCATAATCAGCATAAGAATCCCTAAACTATGGCCAATAACATGTTTTGTGAGATCACAGTGACCTTCGACCACCAAATTCTAATCAGTCCATCCTTTACTCAAACTGGACATTTGTGCCAAATTTGAAGAAATTCCCTCAGTGTTCTTGAGATATCGCATTCAGGAAAATTAGACAGACGCACCGTCACCGTGACCTTGACCTGCTACCACTAAAATGTAAACAGTACATCCTTGACCAAACGATTAATTGCACAGCCTTAATTTGTGGGGAAAATGTTTTTTGAATCAGTCAGACTTTACAGCACTTCACAGAAACCCCACTGTCAACTAGTGTTTTGGAGATGTAACTGCAAGTTGACAAACCACTGCACAGGTATAAATGCTCACAACAGAGTAGGCCACATGCATAGGCGACGGTATGGGCCCTGCCTGGAGCTAACTACTACTAAGCAAAGTAAGAAACTATGTATAGAATATGTTACATTTTACAAAACGCCTGAAGGAGCCAGAGGAGTGATTTTTTTGGGTGAGATTTTATGACTTTATTAACATGTAGAAGAACATGTTCCTTTATAGATACATTCCAAAATTGTTCAGCCTAATCAGAGTGTGCTGTGCTAATGTATTCTTTTGCAGGGTGTACATGATTAGAATGACGTGTAGCAAAATCTCATCTTTAATGTCTGTCTCTGTGTTCCTCTCAGTCAAACTCATAGACTGTGACTGGGAGTTTAGAGAGCTTGTAGGACATGACTTGGTACCTGCTACAGGGATGCAGAAGGAGCAGCGGGGGCAGCAGACTGTGTCCTGTATTACTGGAAGAGGAAGCACATTTCCACATTCTGGGCAGAAGTTGGGATCACAACCGAAACACGACATCTATGTGGGAAAAAAAAGGAGCATTAGGTCTGTACTTCAGGGGAAGATAGACTAGTAGAAATCCTAACTGACATAAGCCATGTTTCCATCAGCCTGTTTAGATGCGCATCTAGAAGTATTGCATCGGAAAATTATGACGGAAACGCCAAAATTCGAATTAAAATCCCCTGACTAAAATACGCTCGCTTTAGCTGGGTTTTGGTTGATTCGAAAAAATGTTGATTCACAAAACGGGGGATGGAAACACTTATGTTCGAATTAAGTTTGACGTATTGCACCTCTCTCCATGGTGATATCCACACTCTGGGTCGGGAAGGCGGTAATGCATTTACAAGTTGGTTGCCAACCGCCAGAAAACGTAGAAGAAGAAGAATGCGAGCCTTGTTTTGTTTGCGGTTCTGTGGAAAACTTGCGCGAGTTCGTAGCTTTCACCAAAGTCCGTACATTTAATGGAAACACACAGGATTCGTATTTCTTTTAATGTGCATTTCCCAATGGTTCGAATCACTTTTGGATGGAAACATAGCTAGTGTCACTGTTAAACACAATATATATATACTATCTGATGTTTTTCACAATGCACATTAGAATTATTGACATATCGGCCATAATTGAGACTTACAATAGCTATGTTGTCTGTGGCCCCCGTTCAACCCACAACTGGCAGGATTCGCCTTTAGTTTCTGGTACCATTGGTACCAGTATACCCTGCAACACTACTCTAGATAGTTCAGTATTACATTCTTTGCAAACCTCTTTTCTTCTATCACTCTCCAACACTTTGAAATATCGCCACACTGCCGACATTTTACTCCGTCTGTCACCGCACGCTGTTTGATTGTATCATCAAAACACGCCGCTATTATTTGGCCTTGCTTTTCACTTATTCCACTGAATACCGAATGTGTGTTTTTTTGCAATATTCGACCGAATATATTCAGTTACTGAATATTCGGTGCATCCCTACTCCAGTTCTCCATTAAATAGTCCCATATCTCAGACCAGATGGAGGTAATGTGAAGTGTTAATTTAGGGTCATGGTCATTTGCCATAATGAATACTGAAAGTGTGGCAGCCCTGATGTTCATATCTGAGTTTGGTAAGGCAGATGATTTTGGAGGCAGTAAATCTGTCGATTAATTTGAGAAAGGCAGCAGGTATTCAGTACTGTGTTTGGAGTTCAGGCTACACTGTTGTTTCCATTCAGGGATTGTGTCACATTTTTTAAATAGTAAATTCTTATATTCTGCTATCATATGTTGGTGTTTGAGGAAATTGTGAAAAGTGTAGTATTCATATCACAGGTCATTGTGATTTGGTAGTCATGCCTCTGCGCCTCAGAGCTGATCTCATCTAATTACTGGCACCAGCTGATTGATTTATCACACCTGATAGGAATCGGTCTGTGTCTACACTCACCAGCCACTTTATTAGGTACACCTGTTCAACGACTCGTTAATACAAATAACTAATCAGTCAATCACATGACAGCAACTCATTACATTCAGGAATGTAGACATGGGCAAGACAATCTGCTGAAGTTCAAACCGAGCATCAGAAGGGGGAAGAACAGTGATTTAAGTAGGGCTGTAGTCAACCAAAGAAAATTTTGGTTGACTAAAGTCGCACATAATCTTCAACTAATCGATTAGTCGTGGGGGAAAAAAATCTGCACGTTATTTTTACTTCTGCGGTGGTGTGCCTGTGTCACTGCAGTTACACCTCCAAAACACTAGGTGGTAGAGAACTGTGTTACTTCACCACATCTGTCCGTATGTGCTTCCCAAGTGCTGTAAAGTTTAGTTCAAATCAAACTTTATTTATATAGTTATATAATTGATTCAAAACACACATTAAACATGGCTTAATAGGGACAATTTCAAACACAAGTACGCAAATTGGCTTCACTATAAATCGCAGAACTGACAGACAAACACTTGTCTTTATCTGGACACATTTCCCCCACCAATACAACATGCTGACGTTATTAGCACAAGTCTATGACGTTTTACACTGTATAAATTAGCGTAGCGTCTAGTGATCTTTTCCTCTTCTCATATAAAACCAGGGACGACAACATTTAACAAAGGTAGCAGTACATAATTTGGCTCCATTACAACCCACAACATTCACTGACAAAACAACTGTCTTATACTAAACACGTTTTCCAAGCAAATACAACATGCTAACGTTATTAGCGTCAGCCTATGGCATTTTACATGGTATACATTAGCCTAGCGACGAGCGGAGATTTCCTCTGCTCATATGAAGCCAGGATTAATCCCGAAGTATAGATCCCTGAATAAATCACACACAAGACTTAAAATGCTATTTTAGTGGAGGCTTTAATGTCTTCACAATTTTTTGTTTCTTATCTGTGAAATACAAGTAAATACTAGCTTCGTTTCCACTGAGGCAAATTGTTTCAGCTTGCAGAAACAGACAGGAGGTCTGCATCACCACAACGCTGAGCGTGAAGGTGGGCGAGTTCAATGTTCTGTCAATAACGGGGGTGTTTTGAAAACACCCCCATTTTCACAGGTAACTTAGCCTATATATACAGTATAGGCCAAAAGTTTGGACACACCTTCTCATTCAATGCGTTTTCTTTATTTTCATGACTATTTACATTGTAGATTCTCACTGAAGGCATCAAAACTATGAATGAACACATGTGGAGTTATATACTTAACAAAAAAAGGTGAAATAACTGAAAACATGTTTTATATTCTAGTTTCTTCAAAATAGCCACCCTTTGCTCTGATTACTGCTTTGCACACTCTTGGCATTCTCTCCATGAGCTTCAAGAGGTAGTCACCTGAAATGGTTTCCACTTCACAGGTGTGCCTTATCAGGGTTAATTAGTGGAATTTCTTGCTTTATCAATGGGGTTGGGATCATCAGTTGTGTTGTGCAGAAGTCAGGTTAATACACAGCCGACAGCCCTATTGGACAACTGTTAAAATTCATATTATGGCAAGAACCAATCAGCTAACTAAAGAAAAACGAGTGGCCATCATTACTTTAAGAAATGAAGGTCAGTCCGTCCGGAAAATTGCAAAAACTTTAAATGTGTCCCCAAGTGGAGTCGCAAAAACCATCAAGCGCTACAGCGAAACTGGCACACATGAGGACCGACCCAGGAAAGGAAGACCAAGAGTCACCTCTGCTTCTGAGGATAAGTTCATCCGAGTCACCAGCCTCAGAAATCGCAAGTTAACAGCAGCTCAGATCAGAGACCAGATGAATGCCACACAGAGTTCTAGCAGCAGACCCATCTCTAGAACAACTGTTAAGAGGAGACTGCGCCAATCAGGCCTTCATGGTCAAATAGCTGCTAGGAAACCACTGCTAAGGAGAGGCAACAAGCAGAAGAGATTTGTTTGGGCCAAGAAACACAAGGAATGGACATTAGACCAGTGGAAATCTGTGCTTTGGTCTGATGAGTCCAAATTTGAGATCTTTGGTTCCAACCGCTGTGTCTTTGTGAGACGCAGAAAAGGTGAATGGATGGATTCCACATGCCTGGTTCCCACTGTGAAGCATGGAGGAGGAGGTGTGATGGTGTGGGGGTGTTTTGCTGGTGACACTGTTGGGGATTTATTCAAAATTGAAGGCACACTGAACCAGCATGGCTACCACAGCATCCTGCAGCGACATGCCATCCCATCCGGTTTGCGTTTAGTTGGACCATCATTTATTTTTCAACAGGACAATGACCCCAAACACACCTCCAGGCTGTGTAAGGGCTATTTGACCAAGAAGGAGAGTGATGGAGTGCTGCGGCAGATGACCTGGCCTCCACAGTCACCGGACCTGAACCCAATCGAGATGGTTTGGGGTGAGCTGGACCGCAGAGTGAAGGCAAAGGGGCCAACAAGTGCTAAACACCTCTGGGAACTCCTTCAAGACTGTTGGAAAACCATTTCAGGTGACTAACTCTTGAAGCTCATCGAGAGTATGCCAAGAGTGTGCAAAGCAGTAATCAGAGCAAAGGGTGGCTATTTTGAAGAAACTAGAATATAAAACATGTTTTCAGTTATTTCACCTTTTTTTGTTAAGTACATAACTCCACGTGTTCATTCATAGTTTTGATGCCTTCAGTGAGAATCTACAATGTAAACAGTCATGAAAATAAAGAAAACGCATTGAATGAGAAGGTGTGTCCAAACTTTTAGCCTGTACTGTGTGTATATATATATATATATATATATATATGTATTCACAAACGAAAAAACACTAATGGTTGGTGATAAGTAGTGTTTAACTTTTGATTAAACACTAAATTAAAACCCTCGGCGCATACTGCAGCACAATCAAACAGATGCGCAACTCAGAGCATCAGAAGCGTCTCTGACACCAGACTCAGAGTGGACCGGTGGAACTGGAAAATGCATATTTTACATAAATAAAATCTATTTTATCATTATTTTGAGTCACAATGTTGAAAGAATTTAGTTGTCTGTGTTCAAGCAGGATAATAGCTGGTCTCCATTGTGCTTCGGGCTTTCTATTTCCTTGTCGCAGATTTCGGCTCACCAAAATTGGACAACAGACTCTTTTTGTAAACAGAGATGACATACTTTGTGGGCGGCAACCAACATTTTGGCCCAAAGGGACAATAGTAGTGTGTGGGTGAGCGCCAAGTAAAACGTAAAAAGCAATTTAACTTTTATATTTCACAACTGACTGCAGTTAGTTTTTGTTTTGTCTCCAGTTAAGGGAATCTGGATATTTAGGTTAGTAACTGTTGCTCAATGCTCAGTAAAGTTGTGTGTTAGGCCTATATGAAGTAATATTTTTATGTGGTGAAAGATATATCATTATGAGGAATTGTAAAAACTCCCGTTTGTCAAGCTTGGATTTGGCTTATTCTTTACTTAATAGTTGTGGAGACGTCACCATATATTATAATTTAATTTGGAAGTACAACTTATCGACTTGCTAGGGCACTAGCTAACTAAGGCCGTCTGTTATGATCAAGGTGTTAATAAGCAAAG